TCACGTCAGTAGCGGCAGTGGCGAGGGAGGCAGTAAAGGTGGGCAGCTGTGGGACAGTGCACCCGTGGAACAGTGGAGGGGGCACAGCGCCAGAGGCGGAGGCTACCGAGCGGAGGTTGCTCTCGACGTCCTTGAGAGCAGACTCAAGGACGCCGATAGTGAGCTCGCTAGGGTGCTTCAGAAGAAGCGCGTCACGAACCGAGGCAAGGCGGTCAGGGAGGCTAGTGGCGATGAAATATATAGTAATCGCCATGGGGGGAGGGAGCAGTGCAAGCTGTGCGTCGGTACAGGCAGCGCGGTAGCTAGAATCCAATGAACACAGGTGAGCGAAAGTCAGCAGAGGTCTCAAACGAGGCGAGGTCAGGAAACAGGAATGGGAGGAACAGGCGACCAAGAGAGACAGTGGTGGGAGTAGCGTAGCGGGCCTTGATCGCAGTCAGGAACTCACTAGCCGTGCGAACCTGGGTGAAGTGGGTCTCCTCAGACTCAGGGAGGAGGCTGCTGAGGGCGATGCAGGCCGCAGCGTCGCGCGACTTTCAGGCTGTCAAGACAGTACGCTGACGCGCAAAACGATCTGTGTCCGCAGTGGTGGGGTCAGCGCCTAAGGGTTCAGGATCGGGGGGCGCAGGAAGGTCACCGGAAGCGTGCGCCCACAGGGACTCGTCAGCCAGAACCTGACTCTCTAGGAGACGCTGCGCTTTCAGGAGCCAGACCGAGAACTCGAGCGGCCTACCCTCGACGTCAAAGCGGAGGACTCTAGGCGTCGCCATAGCGGAAGCGTAGAGAAACGACGGGTGAAAATCGCCTAGAAGGCCGGAGCAGGGCGCAGCAAATAGGGCGCTACGTGGCGAGAAAAGAGGAACATGACGGGACGGGCGCGGCGCGGTGGGAAGGGCAGGCGCGGCGCGACTGGACGGGCAGGCGCAACAGGTACGAGGGGACGGGACGGGCGCGACGCAGCGGGCAGGTGCGGCGCGACGAGACGGGACAGGCAGGCGCGACGCGACGGGACGGGACGGGCAGGCGCGACGCGACGGGACGGGACGGGCAGGCGCGACAGGACGGGACAGGCAGGTGCGAGGGGACGGGACGGGCAGGCGCGACGCGACGTGCAGGCGCGACGCGGCGGGACAGACGGGCGCGACGCGACTGGCAGGCGCGACTGGCGCTAGGGGACGGGATGGACTGGCGCGACAGGCGCTAGGGGACGGTACAGGCACGACGGGCGCTAGGGTACGGTACGTTACGGGCGCTAGACAGGCTAGACAGGCGCTAGGGGACGGTACAGGTGCGACGGGCGCTAGAGGGAGGAACGTGATCCCACAGGATCCTAATCTCGGCGATACCATGTCAGAAACTGAATGATAATTGAGTATTGTGGGTTGGGGTACAAAAACCTAACCATAACTACTGTACCCCATATGACATGCATCACTAAAGGCACATTTGACATTATACAACACGCGGTGCGACAGTTGGGAGGGTCTGCCAATGGGTGGATGCCCGCACCAATCCATTTGGGTGCAGGGCAGGGCAATTGGCATCACATTACCGGCTGCTTTGAGAGCGTGACAGACATGCAGTACATGTACGATGCATATGTGTAGGCGTTGAGCCTTAGTGCTTGATAGGCCGTGTCCCGCGTTGTGGTGTGGGTTGCTGTGGTGTTTTGGTCCTTTAGTTTCTTCCTCCCTTTCTTTTCCTCTTTCCACCTTTCCTTCGACCCTTCTCTTCTTCTCCAGCTCTTCTCTCCTTATCACCCTTTCCGTTGTTTCACCCTCTCTACCTTCCTCTAATACCCCTTATCTTGATTTCCACGACTTTGTATTAAACTTAAACCATATATGACACACTGCACAAGGCTGTCGAGTGAAACGAATAACAGGTTGTATCACGTTTTAGTACAGAAACTTCACATCACACAACCCACGCGTCCAGCCACCGTCAGATCAGAACCATCCTCGCGGCAGATTGTTGGCATCCCTGTGGGCCACGTGTGGGTCCAAGTTTAGCACTGCTCCTTGGACCAGCTTAGCACTGCACTGCACCGCGCAGAACTGTACTGCACTGCACTGCACAGAACATTGCAACGACGAGTACACCTTCAACAGTGGCTTCATAGCGAAGCGTGGAACGTGGAACACGGATCATCACTCCGTTCCAAGTTCCAACAACCTCCAGCTTTCGTCATTCCTCATGCACGCTGGTACGACTTCCTTCCACTCGTCCTGAATTTAGATTATTTCGTATGCTCGCGTACTGTCACTGACCGACTGATTAGACTCCGACCATTAGACTCCGACCATTACATGACGTCTCTTTCTTGTGGGTGAATCGTTCGAAGCACCGCCGAACCATGACTACTCTCCCGCCGCTTCGCGGAGGAGCGCGAACGAGGCATCGCGCGGAGCAGCAGCACGCGTCTAACTACTCGTCCACGGACGCCTTCATTCTCGCCACGCTCGCAACCGCGCCGAGCCACGATGGCTCCTCGTCGCACGACTTGTCGCACGCGTCGTCGCACGCTTCCTCTGGTGCCTCGCGAACCTCGCAAACCAAACTAGACGGGGAATGGCCGCCTCGAAATCTCCGACCGCGAAACCCTAACGGCACAGCGCATGCTAAGGCAGATGCTGGTAGAAAGGTCAAGAAAGGCGGCGTGCGGAACGGGGACAGGGCGGAGGGAGAGAGTCAAGAGAGCTTAGATGACGCAAGTATTGGTAGTGAAAGCGTCAGTAGGGTATGCAGTTCAGGCAGCGCGAAGGCAGACGGTTTAGTCGCGCGCGTTAGGAAGAATCTCGCAGACTTGCGTCCGTTTGACGAGCCGGCCAACGCGGACACTGGAGCCAGTACGAATGCGGACAGCGGAACGGGGGGTGGGCAAGTGGGCCGAGAGAGCGCGCAAGAAGGAGGCGGAGGAGGTGGAGGAGGCGAAGGAGAGGGGGCAGGTGGCGGAGTGCCGTCCGCCAGAACAGCCCCTTCCGCTCGCGCAATTCCGCGGAGGAGGCGGACGGCGGGCGGGTGCAGCTTCGACAGCTCCTTCGATCCAGTGCTCTCCACCTCGCCCCCCGCCCCCATGAGCGCCAGCGATTGCGATGCCCCCAAGCCCAAGGGGCGCAGGGCAGCAGCGGCGGCGGCGCTCGCCGCCAACGCCTCGTTAGAAGCCCCCCCGATACCCCGCACCGCTACCAACTCTTCCGCCGCCTCCAGCTGCTCCGCGGCTTCTGCCGCCTCCGCTCCCCCGAGCGCGCTGAAAGGGGTTCCGCCCGTGGGGGGATCGCGGGGGCACAGCAGGAGCCGCTCGCATGGGGGGGTGTCGGGCCGGCTGCTGTCGCGCCTGGCGCAGCAGCCCGGCGCAGAGCTCCCCGCCGACGCGGGCGCTGGCGCTGCTGCTGCTGCGCCCTCCACCGCTATCTCTGCTGCTGCAGGCGCTGCTGCTGCTCCCTCGAGCGCTGACTGTGGTGCTGTGGAGGGGAGGAAGAGCGGGGGAGGAGGCGGGCGTGCGGAGGGACTCCCCATGCTGCCACCGCCTGACGCACCTCAGATTGTGAAGGTCCGTATTGAAACCGCGCCCCTTCTCTGCCAGCTCCGTGCATTGTGCTGCTAGCTCCGTAGCTGGCTGTACTAACATCTCTGCCTTCACCCCTCTCCTTTCACCGCTCTGCCTCCATCCCTTCACCTCCTTTTCTCCTCCCGTGTCCCCTGTTCCCGCTCCCTCCCTCCTCCCGCCCGCCTCCCCGCGCCTTCCCTCCCCCCTCCCTCCCCTTTCCCGCCCCCCGCCCTGCGCCCTCCGCAGTGCCAGAGCTGCAACAAGTCACTCGCAGTGCCGCCCAACCTGCCGCCACCCGCCAAGGGCTACCAGCGCCTGCGCTGCGGCAAGTGCCTCCACGTCTCCAAATACGCCCTCTACTCCCCCGCCGCCGCCGCTGCCGCTGCCGCCACCGCTGCTGCTGCTGCTGCTGCTGGTGATTTGGGGAGAGCGCAGGAGGAGTGGGAAGGGAAGGTTGGGGAGGAAAGGGGGGAAGAAGGCTTTGGGGTGGGAGGGCAGGAGGGAGGGGGGCAGGTGGGTATGTCGCAGATGTGCAATGCAACTTTGCACCAACAGCTTCAGCTGCAGCAAATGCAGCAGCACCAGCAAATGCAGCAGCAACCACAGCATGAGCAGCAACAGTCACAGCTACAGCAGCAGCCATGGCAACAGCAACAGCAGCTGCATCAGTTGCAGCCGCAGCAGCACCAGCAGCAGCAGCAACTGCAGCAACCACAGCATGAGCAGCAACAGCAGCAGCAACAGCAGCAACAGCAGCTGCCGCCACAGCCACCGCAGCAGCAGCAGCAGCGGGGCCACCGTCGCTCTCCCTCCACTGGCGCGGCAGCAGTGGTGGCAGCGGCAGTGGCAGCAGCAGCAACAACCACCGCCGCCTCCCTCTCTCGCAGCGCCAGCACCACCGGGCGGCACGACTCCCCCTTCCGCAGCAGAGCAGCAGCAGCTAAGGGCGGCAAGGGCGGCGGGAAGGAGGGGAAGGCAGGGGGGAAGCACCAGCGGCGAGCCACAGTGGACTCAGCAGAAGTGCTGGGGGCGTGGGACAGGGAGGCGGGGCAAGCTGCTGGCGCCGCTGGCAGCAGCAGCACTGGTGGGCGGAGTGGGGGGGGTGCAGGTGCGGTTGTGGGTGGTGGTGGTGCGGGGGGGGGGGTGCAATGCCCCCTCGCCCCAGCACGAGCAGTGGCGTGAGTCAGCTGGCAGTGGCGTCAGGGTTTGGCCCCTGGGATGCTGCCACCGCCATGCACCGCTGCTGCTGCTGCCGCTGCTGCTGCAGCCGGTGCTGCTGGTGCTGCTGGTGCCTCTGCTGCCGTCCCTGTTTCGAGCTTACCCCCTCCTGGTCCACCGGGCCTATTCCCGCCTGGCGGGGTTGCGGAATTCCTGAGGCAGCAGCAGCTGGCATGAGCAGCAGCAGCAGCAGCAGCAGATGGGGGCGGATATGATGCTGCAGGGGCAATCAATGGCGGCACCAGGCATGATTGCCCCCATGGCCCCACACCAGTTTTCACTGCCCATGCAACCCGGCGTGCAGCAACCCGGCATGCAGCAACCCGGCGTGCAGCAGCCCGGCATGCAGCAGCCTTTTCCCCCGCCCTATGCCCTGGTGGGGCCGGACATGCCAGGCATGCTGCTGCCACCAGGGGGGGTGGCGCCAGAGGGGGTGGGGCAAGGGGGCATGGGGCAAGGGGGCATGGGGCAAGGGGGTATGGCGCCAGGGGGGATGCCGCCAGGGGGGATGGCGCCAGGGGGGATGGGGCAAGGGGGGATGGGGCAAGCAGGCATGGGGCAAGGGGGCGTGGGCGCAGGGATGAATGGCATGGGCATGGGCATGGGCATAGGGATGGGGATGGGGGTGGGCATGGGGGTGGGCATGGGGATGGCAGGGCCGATGGGGGGACCCATGGGGCGGCTGGGGATGATGGGGCCGTTGGGCGAGGAGGGGGGCTACAGCCGGCGGGTGGTGGTGAACAGTGTTCCCATCACCGACCCGGCTGTAGCACGTGCAGAGGAGCTGGCTGGTCCCATCCACCCCGGCAGCTACTGGTGAGTGCGAGTTGCTGCTCCTGTGAGTGAGAGTTGCTGCTACTGGTGTGAGGTGTGGTGAGAGGCGGTGGTGAGAGGTGGTGGTGAACAGTGTGCCCATCTCTGACCCAGCTGTAGCGCGCGTAGAGGACCTGGCTGGACCCATCCACCCTGGCAGCTACTGGTGAGAGCTGCTGGGGCATCAGTTCATGATTTCTAGGCAGGGTGCTGCTAGGGAAGGGACTGCTGCTTAGGGTACTAGAGGCGGCTAGTGGGGTGCTTTTTCTTCTCTTGTTGGAGCCTCACATTATAGGGCAGAGGGTAGTTGAGGAGGGAAGGTGGCAAATATAGCCACAACAGTGAAATACAGTTACAAGAACCGTTGCTGAAGTTACTTTTGACAACTCTCTAGAATGAAGAAACCAACTCCAATGCACTCACAAGAGCTAGTGCCACGTGTGTGCTGCTGTGCTGCAGGTACGACGTGCACGCTGGCTTCTGGGGAGTCATGGGAGGGCCTTGCCTCGGGATCATCCCGGTATGTCTCTAGTGCTTTTCCACCCTGCTTTCAATTTGCTGACTGCTGCCGTCACTGTTCTCCCTCCTCTGCTCACTGTGCTCTCCCCTCCCCACAGCTTGTTTACTTGTGAGTGTTGTCCACTTGTTCAAGTGTATTTTATCATTCACACTGCCACCAAGGCAGCCCTTACCTGCATTGCTGCCCGCCCATCCACCCACCTTTTCCACATCGTCTCCCTCATTCCTGATTTTCCCCACAACTTCATTCTCTCCCTCCCCCCCACTCCCGCACACACACACACCCCACGCGGATATCTGGAGCCCAGCCCTAGCTCCCCTGCTCGCAAACCCCATGGCTTGCACAGACGTGCTGGTGAATGGCAGGAATCTGCAGCAGCAGCACCACCTGCTCATCCTCACCGCCTCATTCGTTCCCCCCCAACCCCAATCAAAATTCCCCACCCGTGGTGTACGCAGGTATCTGGGACCTGGCCCTAGCGCCGCTGCTGCGGCACTGCTCCAATGGGCACACGGCAGGGAGCTGCAGCAGCAGCACCCACACATCCTCACGCTTCCCTCTCCGCACCTGCTTCCCATGAACTGTCTCATTCCCTCCCCCCCCTCCCTCTCACATGCAGGTGCTGGTGAACGGCCGGGAGCTGCAGCAGCACCACGGACACATCCTCACGCCTCCATTTGCCCCCCTCATTCCCTCTCCCCCTTGTCAACCCGTGTACAGGCAGGCGTCTGGGACTTAGCATTAGCGCCCCTGCTGCGGCACTGCTCCCATGGGCATACAAGGGTGCTCGTGAACGGCCGGGAGCTGCAGCGGCGGGACCTCGACATCCTCATGCCTTCTTCTCCCCTCTCAATGCGTGTACAGGCGGGCATATGGGACCTAGCTCTGGCGCCGCTGCTGCGGCACTGCTCCAATGGGCACACGCGCGTGCTGGTGAATGGCCGGGAGCTGCAGCGGCGTGACCTGGACATCCTCATGCAGCGCGGCCTGCTCGACCACCCAGGCGCCGCCTACCTGCTGGACATTCACGGCAACCTCGCTGATGCAACGAATGGGGAGCCCCTGCCCTGCCTCGGCAAGCTCGCCCCCTCGTGAGTTCTCTTCCTCCTGGTGTTTTCCTGACACTAGTTGCTCGCTTCTCCTCCTCGACCACCCCGGCGCCGCCTACCTGCTGGACATTCACGGCAACCTCGCAGGCGCCACAAATGGGGAGCCCCTGCCCTGCCTCGTCAAGCTTGCCCCTCGTGAGTTCGTCTACTAAACGTTTGCCTCCTCCTCTTGTCTCCCTCATAGTCATCTCTCTCTCATGGGACGCCACAAGAGCTCGAGCTTTGGTGATGATGTGATGGTGGGAAGTATTGTGGCATGGGTGTCTTGGAATCGTCAATTATACGGTAGCTGTTTGTGAGGTGCATCTGCTTTCCCTTGTCACACAGCTTTTGCTTTTTGGATGGTAGTACAGTGGAAAGGATGCTATAGGCTCAATTGCTGCTCCCCATGTGGTGTGTGCAGGCTGGAGCTCAAGGGCAAGGGGGCAGGGATGTATGTACCCAAACAGCCCACATAGCGATGGGTTCTATTGTGCACTAGAAGTGAGTAAGATACATTGTCAAGAGTTCTTGCAGAGCGTTATGGAAAACCGAGGTTGCCACCACTCGTGATGTGCTATCCCTCCCAAAAAATGCATCCACTCTTTAATAATATGGTCAGTATTAGCAAGTAGTACCGTATGACCAACATCACAAGTATATATTCACAACTCAGTGTAATGCAGTACTCATGTGTATTGTTGAGAGCCTTGTCTCCACCCACAACCGGGGGCATCTTTCTCCAGTGCACTGAATCTCACCCAACTCAAGGTTGATTAAAATACACCCACATTAGGGCGTTACTAAGTAAACTAGTAGAGGAACTTTCGTAATCCTCGTAGTGGTATCAGAAACTCGACCGAGAAAACCAACACAACCTTACCCAACACTTTGGATGGGTTGGGTCGTGTAGTTGGCCTTATGACTGCTAAGGGCCACACAAGCTCAGGATGTACCACATAGAGAGAAGCAAAGGTAAACATTGTCCAACCTGTGCCTCTGGATTGGAGCCCGCCAAGGATAGGGCCTGGGATATGCACAACGGTGGCTGCAGACGAACAAGAGGTCAGGTTGGAGGCCAGGTAAGACAGGCCCCAAAAGGTAGAGAAGCAGCGACAAAACAACAATAGAAGTTAGAGCAAGCATTTGGATAAAATCAATATCCACCTGGGAAGTGTGTTCAGCATGGCTCAGATTTCCCAGAAAAGCTGTATTCCACTATAGGGGGGAGTAAGGATACTCCATACAAGCATGGCAAGTACATTATGGCATAACAGATGACATTCCTGATAAATACGTCCAGCTTTACTTCTTGGCAGCAGCGGCCCTCACAACTGCCTGGGCAGCAGCCAGCCGGGCGATGGGCACACTGCAAGCAGAAAAAAGGCGGAAGACACAGAATTCGGGTTAGATGGATGCTGAGATGCGTACCGGAGCAGAAAGGAGGGGGAAGGAAAGGAGGCGTACCGGAAGGGCGAGCAGGAGACGTAGTTGAGGCCGCACTTGGCGAAGAACTCGACGGACGACGCCTCGCCGCCTTGCTCACCGCACACGCCCACCAGCAGGTCAGGGCGCGCGGCGCGGCCGCGCTCCACGGCCATCTTGATGAGCTGGCCGACGCCGGCCTGGTCAAGAACCTCGAAGGGGTCGTTCTGGAGAATGCCGAGCTCCAGGTACTTGGGCAGGAACTTGGACACGTCGTCGCGCGAGTAGCCGAACGTCATCTGCGTCAGGTCGTTGGTGCCGAACGAGAAGAACTCGGCGCGCTCTGCGATCTGGTCCGCAATGAGGGCCGCGCGGGGCACCTCAATCATGGTGCCCACCTTGAAGGGCACGGTCACGCCGGTCCTCACGGCCACGTCGGCAATGACCTTGCGGATAATCGCCTCCTGGTGCTCGAACTCCTGTGGGATTGGAAGAAAGAGTTAGGTGAGCATTAGCTGAATGAGAGGCAGTAGCAGTCGTGCTCACAAGGTGAATTTGCTTTGGTTCATTTTCCTCTTCCCGCTGACGTTTGCCCTTTTCCCTCCCACACCCATTGCTTTGAATTCCTCGACTTGCCTGGGTGGTTCCGACGAGCGGCACCATGATCTCGGGGTGCACCACCTTGCCCTCCTTCTGCACGGCGCTCGCCGCCTCGAAGATGGCGCGCACCTGCATCTCCGACAGGTCCTCGTACCCGATGCCCAGCCTGCACGCACCACACCCGCCACCACCGGTTAAGCCTATGGGAACATCGAAACCTCAGCCACTGAAGGACACTGGAAAGCACGGCTTGGAAGAACACTGTGGCAGAGAGAAACATGCGTGGAACGAGGCGTACCGGCAGCCGCGGAAGCCGAGCATGGGGTTGACCTCCTGCAGCTCCTCGATGCGGTTGAGCACGTCCTCCTTCTTCACGCCCACGTCGCGCACGAGCTCGTCCACCACGTGGTCGGCGTGCACGTGGTCCGCGCCGTGGATGTTGGGCAGGAACTCGTGCAGCGGCGGGTCGAGCAGGCGGATGGTGACGGGCAGCCCGTCCATGGAGCGGAAGATGCCCTCGAAGTCCGACCGCTGGTACGGCAGCAGCTGGTCGATCGCCGCGTGCCGCTGCTCCGGGTTAGTGGCGAGAATCATCTCGCGCACCTTCATGATGCGCTCCTCCGTCGCGAAGAACTGTGCGCGTAGAAGGGGTATCGGGGTTGAGGTCGCACGCCGTGGTGAAAGGCACGAATGAAAGGGACGACCTTCATGAAGAGCAAGACGCAAATAAAACAAAATACATTGAATTAAAAAAGGAAGAGGGGCAAGACTCACCATGTGCTCCGTGCGGCAGAGGCCAATGCCCTGAGCGCCCTTCTCCCTGGCGGCCGTGGCGTCCTCCGGGGTGTCAGCATTGGCCATGACCCGGAGCTGCCTGGTGTCGTCCACCCACTTCATGAACGTGCCCAGGTCACCGCTGATGGACGGTGGCGACAGCTTCTGCTGGCCCGAGATGACCTCGCCAGTGGTGCCGTTGAGCGAGATCCAGTCGCCCTCCTTAAGCTTCTTGCCGCCCAGCTCCATGGTGCGGTGCACCTCATCGATGTGCAGCTCCGAGCACCCAGCAATGCAGCACTTGCCCCAACCGCGTGCCACCACGGCGGCGTGGGAAGTCATACCGCCGCGCGCGGTGAGGATACCGGAGGCGGCGTGCATGCCGCCGACGTCCTCGGGGGAGGTCTCCATGCGCACCAGGATGGTGTCCTTGCCCTGCGCCTTCCACGTCTCGGCATCCTCGGGGTGGAACACCACCTGGCCGACAGCAGCGCCGGGGGAGGCGGGCAGGCCGGTGCCGAGCACGTCGGTCTTGTACGCCTTGGGGTCGGCGAACTGGGGGTGCAGCAGCTGGTCCAGGTGGCGCGGCTCCACCATGAGAATCGCCTGCTGGGGCGTCACGAGCCCCTCAGCAACCATGTCGACGGCGATCTTCACGGCGGCGAGGCCGGTACGCTTGCCCGTGCGGCACTGGAGCATCCAGAGCGCGCCCTCCTGCACCGTGAACTCGATGTCCTGCATCTCCTTAAACTCCTTCTCCAGAATCTCGCAGTTCTTGCAGAGCTCCTCGTACGCCTTGGGAAGCACCTTCTTCATCGTGTCGATGTCCTCGGGGGTGCGGATGCCCGCCACCACGTCCTCGCCCTGCGCGTTGATGAGGTACTCCCCGTACAGCTTGCGCTCGCCGTTGGACGGGCTGCGCGTGAAGAGCACGCCGGTGCCGGAGTTGTCACCCATGTTGCCGAACACCATGGCCTGCACGTTCACGGCCGTGCCCTTGAGGCCCGTGATCTTGTTGATGGTGCGGTACTTGATGGCGCGGCCGCTGTTCCACGAGTTGAACACCGCCATCACCGAGTGCTTCAGCTGCTCCTTGGGGTCTGCGGAAGAACAAGAGAAACGAAATGCGGATTTAGTGAGAATGTGTGAAGATATGCGCAATGTGTGAAGATTTCTAGAGGCAGATGCTGCGAGAACCAAGATTTCGTTTTCGTATTTTGCTCAGAATATCGGAAAACCTTACCGGAGGGAAATTCCTTTCCAGTGGCCTTCTGATAGACTTCCTTGTACTTGGTGACGAGCGTCTTGAGGTCCTCATTGTCGAGCTCCGTGTCGACCTTGACACCCTTGGCCTTCTTGAGCGCCGAGAGTTCCGCCTCGAAGAGAGAGTGCGACACGTTCATCACGACGTCGCCGAACATGTCGATGAAGCGACGGTACGAGTCATACGCGAATCGCTCGTTACTCTTCTTCGCGAGGCCTTCGACGACCGTGTCGTTGAGACCCAAGTTGAGCACGGTGTCCATCATACCAGGCATGGAGACCTGGAAGAACAATAATCAAAACATTCAGTGAGTTGGAACTCAGGCAAAATATTGGGTTCTAATTCCTTTGAAGACTCTGACAAAAATGACTTGGCAGGGAAACCGAAATTCAGCTAGCAAATGAGATGTACCAACAGAATTCAGAAGCACGAAAGCGAGGTCTCGGGTGTACTTACAGCAGCACCAGAGCGGACAGACACGAGAAGAGGATTCTCGGGATTGCCGAATTCGAAGCCGGTGTTCTTCTCAACGGTCTTCATGCCGTCGAGAATCTCCTGCCACAACTCATCGGTGAGCTTTCCGCCGCTCTTGTGGAAGTCTTCGCAGGCCTCGGTGGTGACGGTCAGGCCAGGAGGCACCGAGAGGCCGATGCGAGACATTTCGGCAAGATTAGCACCCTTCCCGCCGAGCTGCAGAGGAGAAAACATAAAGTTAGCACTCTTCAAAGCAAGTCCCGTCGACAATGATTAAAGCATGCGAGTCGCTCCTCTTACCAGTTGCTTCAGGGACTTGTCTCCCGCGCTGTAGCCCTTGCCGAAGACCCATACCCTCTGCAATAATGTCAAGACATACGGTAAGCGATATGATACAAATAGAAATTACGTTGCTCGCATTCGTGATGCTACTCACAGGCTGAGCGGTGGCCATGGTAGAACGAGTTGGAAAAAAGTTGCTGAATCAGAAAGTAGTTGTGCGTAGAGTCTAATTGAAAAGGCCGCGTCAAAGCAGTATATGAAATGTCACAGGGATGAAAGGACGGAAAGGAATTCCTGGAATGTGAATGATGTCAGAGCAATGCACGTTTTTATGGACCCATGGCATGAGGCCGATGAGGCAGGGATTGGGGAGTCGCGCGCGGGATTGTAGAAAGATCTCCAGCGCATTTTTCATCGTCAGCATACACACGTGCTGATCTGTTAATTCATAAGGCAGCGTGAAGGTGCTGCCACATCAGGGCTGCTGAGTTGGAATGGGCCATCAAGGAGTCCGCATCCTCCAGAGGCTGCCCCTTCATACCTTCGCCCTAGATAGTGCTGGTACAGGTGGCGCCGGATTCACGCCTCATTGGTAGGTACCCTTGCTTAGGCCCAACAAGCTGGCTCGACAACACGTGCCAGAATTGACCTAATTGGTGG